AGGAAATTGATACAGTGTGCACTGCTTGTGGAGAGGAGGACGAGACGGCTGAACACTTGATACTCTACTGTAAAGGGCTTCACCCTATGCCTACCGAAGACAACATAGATTTAATAAAGTCATTGGGTTTTAGAGACAGCGAAGGGAGAGTGGATTTCAAGACTGTAGAAATTACCAAGCAAAGATTAAGTGAATGGTGGCAGAAATCGAGAGAAAACTAGGTATTTTCTTATCCACTGATGGCAAGGGGGTTTGGAAGCGGATCCACGTTCGCGGAGCGGTTGCGGATGCGGATCGCGAGCGACCCCGTTGAGACACACCCAGAGGCGGTTGGCGTTTTCTCGGCGATCACGCGTGATCTTTTTAGACTTTCGTTTGGCAACCCTGTTTTGCAATCCACAATCCACTTTAATCCACGATACAAAGCCAAAAGTTTGCTATTCGCGACTCCAGCAAAACGGACGCCGCCAAGCGGGAAAACCGGGAACCAGCCGGTCCAGGTCGCTCCGCGCCCCTCCGCGTCTCTGGTGGCTTTCGCGGAGACCTGTTGTCGGCGCGGTGGCGAACAATGTAATTTGACGAAGGTCCGAATATTTTTTAAGTTTGCCTGTGTGATCATTAGTGCGGTGAAGCCTCAGTAGATTGTTTTCTTCTATTACGTGTTTGAAAGCCCGTTTACTCCACAGTACACGGTCGCGTGCTTTCGATTTCTTGGATGGGGAGGAATCACGGAAAACCTTCTTGATTTCTTGTCTGTCTCGAATCACATTCAAAGTGACGACTGCTAGGTAACTGATACTGGAGGGAACATCAATGTTGCAGTCAAGTGAATGGTAAGGTTCGATAGCTGCTTTTCTTGAGTTTGGTTGTGTTTGGTTAGCTTCAAGTTTGAGCCACCCACGCCGGTCGGTGCGTTGGCTATTCATATTGGCTGCTTTTCGCCGAAAAAGCCTCTGGACCACACTGAAGGAGTTTGGCTGATTTCGTAATTACTTGATTCAGGAAAACTTGCTCGCTGAAAATGATGAATGAGGGAAATTATTTGTTTTCGAAAGGTGGGAGACAAGTCTCGCAACGTTATATGCCGTCACGCATTTTGACCTATCGCGCCTCCAATATTTATATTACGAGGACGTCGAAGCCAGCAGCAATATACGTCTACATTGGTCAGGTTGACCGGCCACAAAAAATACTAATTTTCTCCGTTCAGGATTTGAAGCAAAGTTCAATGCAGAGAGGTTCTGCGCGGATCTTCAATGAAGACTCTCTTCAGTTTGTCTCCGTGCTGCCGGCTATAGAACATTTTGGCTAAGTTTAAGTAGTATGTCTCCGTCTGTCAAATGTACTTTTATTCAGCAGCTCACCTAATAGCTAGTCAACTAAGCTCATATTTCAACCTGAAGGATATACTAATATCGCTATAGTGGGACCTCCCCCCCCCCCCCCCCCCATAGTACGTAATATAATACATAACCCGCTCGTCAAAAAGACTTCTCGATTGCTACTAAAACCTGAATTAAAATACGAGTATCAGCTGCTTAGTGGGGCGCCGGCGGGTTAACATGGTCCTTGGCTCAAGAAGCGGTTGCTTAATTTTCGTAATTTCCCTGCAGCCTGGGTTGTTGGCCGAGCAGACGACTGGAGCTGTTTCGTAAAAGCGGATACGCACAAAAGCTCGATTTCGCGGACAGATAAGTCGCATGGGCGAGGCATGCGAGTTAGCTGAAAAGTTACTCTGTGAAACAATTCTGTAGTCATCGCCGCTTCCCTTAGGTGATCAAAACTGATTAGTATATTACCGTCTCTCCGGAGCCCATAGTTTCGGTTTTGAACGAAATCTCCGAAACGAAAGTTTGACACGAAAAGAAAAACACCGGCAAAACAATACTATGCTTTCAGAACATAGTGACAGTTGCGCACACAGGGACAAGGACAGAGAAGAGGAACACGTAGACGACAGACAAGCGCACGTGTTCTACGTGTTCCTCTTCTCTGTCCTTGTCCCTGTGTGCGCAACTGTCACTATGTTCAATAACTACCAACTCGCCCAACTGTCTACTCTACTATGCTTTCAGGTTTATCTGCACCGGCTACACTTAACCGTCTCAGTTCAAATATCTATAAAATTGGGCATTAAACAAAAGAAAATCTGTTAAATTGAACGCGCCACCTGTTCAGGCGGCCCGGCCGAGCCGCCGCGACCTGGACTCAGCCGCCATGTTTGTTTGGTGGTGGCGCCCCCTATAGGTCGCTGGAGTCGCGAATTTCGGCGCTCTGAAGGTTTTTCTTCGGGATGTTCGCAAGCATTACTAGTTGAGGCAGCGAAAAAAGAGGCCTGGACCCGACAAACTCGCCTGTGAGTCCCTCGACTTCGTCGACAAGCAAAGCCTAGCTAGGCGCGCCTTGCTGACTCAGAACCGGATGCCCCCGACCTTTTGTTCGAAGTGGACCCTTCCCGCACGAATAGCTGACCTTGTTTTCGAGATAGAAGCCAGTTCCCCCCCCCCCCCCCCCCCCCCCTTTCCCGCCCTCCTCGTTGTTCGCTCTTATCATTTTCGAAGTTGCGAGCGTGGGGTGTACCGTGGTGCGGGGGAATGTGTTCGGTGCTAGCCGGTCGTGGCTTCGTTGGTGGCGGACTGTCCGCTCGTCACTTGCACGTCGGTTGAGTCCCGCCGAATTCACAAAGCTCACTTTAATTGAGGGGCCCCTCCACTTCCTCGAGGACGGCGCGAGGGCCGGCGTTGGCCAATCGCGACGACGGATCCGAAACGCCGTACGGATTACCTCTGCATCGTCTGGTGCGTACCCTTTTTTGTTTCTTGAGTATGTTCCCTTTATTTTCTTTTGTTAGTAGTGAACGTTACAGGTCGAGCTAGCGCACGTACCCTGCCAGCTCCGCGGTAGTGCCTTGGCTGCACAGTCAGGCTCACGACGTCTCTATCGGCCTCCGTGGTGGTCATGCACGGGATCGAAAGCTTTCAATAGTTCACGCGACTGTCTTAGTGGGTACGAAAGCTAACATTTCGGTAGATCAGAGGCGGGTTCCGACGTTCTACGGGCAAAGACTAACAAAACAGCGAGCTTCGGGCTGCGGAACCCGGAATAATAAACAAACTCTTGCCCGAACCAAATCTCCGGTGCGAAGCCCGTTAAGATTACGAGTCAATTCTTTTCGCGGCGGATTCAAGTGACGGACGTGAACATCACATTTCTCCGTTGATTTCTCTGTTGTAACGCTAAGACTACAGTGCCTTGGACTTCTCGCCAGCGACACGTGCCATCTTGTTTCGAAAGTCAGTGACGTCACGTCAGCGTCGCGTTGTGATTGGTGGCCGCTTTGCGGTTCGTGAAAGCGGTCGGGAGAAATCGGTTCCGAAGCGGTTGGCGAACACGCGCTCCAACCGCTCGATCCCAGCGGCTTTACGGTTGAGAAAGCGCTGATCCGCTTCGCGTTTGCAGATTCGCTTCCAGTGTGAACGCGCCATAAGTGGGCCAGTGGTTCCACGCCAAGAAAATGTCTATGCGCGTCCGCTGCGGGAGCGGCTGTCGAATAATTGCATCCTAATGACAGTTAATGGTAGCGGCACGATCGCGCCAAAGGTGTGTCACTCGGACGTCTCATAAAATACGCCTATTGTTCTCCTTTTCAATGTGTTCGGGGGTAGCCTAATTCTGCATTTGAAAACGGTGAACGAAATTTTGTTTGCTATGGTACGTTAACAAGTCATCTTGGTCTCAGTTATGTCTGCGAAAGCTACTGCGTATTTTAATAGGATTTTTTTTGTATCAGTGAATGGGGATACCCTTTGACTTAATTTCCTGCAGATTTTCGCTTCAGCATTTTTAACATCATTAGTAATAAAGGGTCAAACTTTGGGTATGACCATAGAGCTTTTAAGCGCGCATTCCACAGCACCAAGATTGCGTTGTGAGCAGCGTTGTGAACATGCGTTGTGAGCAGCGCACCGAAATATAACTCCAGGGAATACCCCCTTGACCACCGTTTAAATTGACACGAATAATACTCATGAATAATTCGTGCGACAAATGGTTTAGTGTACGCAGGATGCAAACACACACACACACAGCCTAGGAGGGAACCGGGAACTTTACTACGATTTTAATTTTTTTGTTATTTTTGTTTTGGACATTTGAGAATACATTTTTTTCATAAGTTGTAAAAGCTAATGTGCTTGTTAACGGTTGTGTAGGCTTTAGTAAAGAGACCTCAAAGTTTAGAAAATGACATTTCGAGAAAAAGTGCAAACAAACAATAGCCATGGTGCAGTACGGCTTTCCAGTGAACACGTGAACTGAATATAGTTTACATCTCAAGTCTTATTATTTTTAGTTTAAAGTAAAACGACATATAAAAATACACGTGCGTCTGCCAAACTTGCTAAAAAAAAAAAAAAAAAAAAAAAAACACGGGCCGCCGTTTATGGCGTTATGTTAAAATGACTGGGGGTGCCCATACGCGCTCGGAGCGGCACGGTTGTCCTCCTCACGTATAACTTTGTAACACTAAAATAAAAAAAAAAAAAATTATAGTTTTTGGTCGGTTTATACCGAGAGTGTCCTATTTTGACGCTTCAACACTACAAATACCTGGGAGACATGTGCCATTTTATACCAATACTTCATTAAACATGAATCGACTAGTCAATTATTTTGCTTGATCCATCTTCCAATGTTCACCGCGAACAATATTTACGCTATCTGGAAGGAATAATTTCCTCGCCTCATGTTACCTTTTTGTAGAGTCTTTCAGCAGCTATGTCATATCACCATGTTTATTTTATATTTGCAGGTCTGTCCGACCTTCCTGTCGTAGGAAGATAAACAGTCGGTACCCAACTCTGCGGGGCGTGTGCGATCCAGTGGCCTTTTGGGAGCAGCTTCTGCAAACATGGGAGTCACGGAATTCGACGGACGTCGACGAGACTTTGCTCCTCCATGAGCAGAGAGACCCGCCAATGGTCGTGTTGGCCTCTCCTCTGGATCTGCGGATTGTCCACTCGTCCCGCAACTGGGTTTGCGACCGCACCTTCGGGTACTGCCCTGCCCCATTCACCCAGTTGTACACCATTCACGGATTTGTACATGGGGACCGTTGGTTGCGGCGCTCCTGCCCGGCAAGACCTCCGCTGTGTACGACAAACTTCTTGAAGTCGTGCGGGACGCCCTGAACCGTCGCTTCGGGCCTACTGGAGCGCTGCATGCGGTCCATTTTGACTTTGAAACGGCCGCCATCACAGCCTGCCAGAGAGCATTTCCTGGCGTTACGACGAAGGGGTGTCTTTTCCACTTCGTCCAGTGCCTCATCAGAAAGATCGAAGAACTGGGACTGCAGGTGAGACCACGAGGACGATTTGTTAATGTGTTTTTGGATGTTTCGTGGTTCTGGCATGCCGCTCAATTTCTTTTTATAGAGTTTTGTGACGCCTACTTATGTGCCTTCGAATAAATTGGTGATACCGAAACTAACCTCCCGAGTGACGTTATGTGAGAATGGTTGCTTCTTACCTGTCGTCACGCTCCCACGTCATGTTAGGCGAATGTGCGTAAGAGGTCGCGGGAAACTCGTTTCTTCCTGCCTTTCGTGGCGGCGCCAGCGTCGCCCCCGGTGCGATCTTTCGCGTAGTTGTTTATTAATTTGAGCGGCAAGCAGGCGTCGGTTCGCACTGAAACTTGGTCAACGTTGCGTGATCATTCCCGACGCCTCTTTCAACCGTCAAATGAAGTTTCCAAAGCGCCTTCATTGTTCCTTGAAAGAAGCGCTAAGGTGGTTTGTGAAAAAAAAAAAAAATTGTTTTTGATGTCATATAGTTTGTTAGGTGTCAGTTAATATTATATTTAAAATTTCATGTTACAAAAACCCCTAATAATCTCACTGTAAGCGAAAAACATGCGGACTTCTTTTCTTTCTCGGACTACTTGCATTGGATATTGATCCCATGCAAGTATCGTATAATACGCGAAAATTGCGAACATTATTATTATAACTCGTTCTGGAACGAAGTCTGATCTACGCGAAATTCGGACATCACACTACTTGATCGGCCGCGCAGGAAGTTATCGCTTACGACTGGCTTACGAGCCCTTTCCGCATGCCTCCTTACGATCGCGAGACGCCCCTTACTCTGCCAAACTGCGCAGAAAAAGGAGAGTGTGCGGGCGAGCTGGTAAACGTTGGTCTTGTTGGAGAAAACACGAAGTCTGTGGTAAAAGAAGAAAATGATTTGCCTAAAAAAAGGAATTCAGAAAAAAGCCCGTCTCCGGTTTCCGCAACATAAGCAGCAAAAAAAAACAAAAAAAAAAAAAAAAGGGAAAAACGGGCGTGTTTTGATCTTTGACCACGTTTTTAACAGGGAAATAGGTGGCGAATGATTGCAATCCTTTTCCTTCTTTGAGTGCGTAGGAGTTATCGCCATAAAAATATGATCTCCGAAACTGCCCTAAATTGGGTTGTGTGTGTGTAGAACAGCCTAGAACTTGGTCTGCCTCAAGGGGCGTCGACTCTCAGCTGTAGATGAGCAATTTAGGCAGTGCAGTACAGCCGCTAGCCTGGGGTCTTTAACGTGCATCACGCAGTAGTGATACGCGACCACACATACGATGCTCATCCAGTTCGGAACAGGCAGGGGCGGGGATTGAGCCCAGCATCCTGGGCTCTGCAGCGCGAGCTTTCGCTCCACGTGCTTCGAGCTGGTGTGCGCTAGCCCACTCGGCCACCGATCCCCCCAAGAAACTGCCTTTAGTACCCATTTAAATTGTTTAATTTTTTATAGTTTAGTTATCATTGCATTTGAAATTGTCCTCGCGCCAGATCCAATCACAGCCAACTTCCTCGTGTTCCTACTCACGTTCACGCCACCCTGATGATTCGCGTTGTGTTTTTTTTTTCCATTTCATCAGACCTTTTACCGGGATGCAGTCCAAACCGACTTCAAGGAATGGGTTCGCAAGGTAGTGGGACTGTCCCTCCTGCCACCACAGCTCGTGTTCACTCACTGGACCCTGCGCCTCAAGTGCTCTCGACCAGTCACGGGAGATGCACGAATTGACGGAGCCATAGAGGATTTTGTTCTCTATGTTGAGGTGCAATGGCTCTATTCACCAGCTCAGGTGGAGCTGTGGAACTATCATTATGATAGCGACAACTTGAGGACAACAAACCATGCCGAAGGGTGGCACAGCTCCTTGAAACAAAAATTTCAGTCTGTCCCACGGATGCCCCTCGGCAAGTTCCTGGCCGAGTACCAGCGGTACATTCATCACCAAAACCAGGTAAGCGAGTTACCCACTACCTCGACGTAACCTTATCAATGATATGTTAATAGACTGCGCTTAATCCCGATTAATAATAATAATAATAGTAATAATAATAATAATTATTATTATTATTATTCGGGATTAAGCTACAGGAAGGCCTGGGGCCCATACCATTTAGGTCTGCAGTAACGCATGATACTAGGATGACGATATGTGAAGTTGTACAGGCTGGAAGAGGTGTGATGATGATCGAGTAAAGGTGTATATAAAAATAGGGCCCAAACCCCCCCCCCCCCCCCCCCCAAGTTTACAATTCAAGTAGCTCTCGGTTTTTGTTTTTTAAAACTTTTTCTTTTCTTTTTTTTTTCTTTTTTACCGCGCGACGCTTGTGCATACTTCTATGAGGAGACCTGCAGCAAAATATAAAAAAAAAATCAAACTAAATCGTGGACAGAATGTAATTTTTCATAATTGTTTAATTTCTAGAAACTTAACCTAGCAAGAAAAACTTACACATTTTATTAAATTTTAATTTGAGAACCAAGTCGGGCAACACAATTCACGAAGTAGAGCTTTGAGACTACTTTGGCGGTGACACCCTGGCGAAAGTTGGAGAGTTGAACGGACCATTCGAACCTCGATTTTCGACATTGAACCTTTGGTTCGAGGAAAGTTCGCGACATCCCTAATTCTAACACGAATACGTGAATCGTTTTAATTACACCGAAAGCAGCAGGAAGCGTTCGGGTGTCACGTGCATACATTGTCGCACATGTTGACAATGATGTTCCTTTTTTTCCTCCATTCATCCTTTCTTTTTATTCTATATTCCTGTAATAGGTAAGGATCAGGCAGCTGGAAAGGGGCGAGCTCCCGAACGAACGCCGTCGGGAGTAGGCGGCCAACAACGACGCCATCGAGCGCCTGAAGCAGGACATCGTCGTCCATTGGCGCGAATTTCTGCTAGTACCTGTGGTGCCGCCTTTCCTCAACCGATACGACCAGTTCGCCTTCAAAATCGACGAATTTTTGAAGAGGGCGGCAAGGCGGCTCGGCCTCAACGGCTGATAATTGCTGGCCGAAACAGTAAAATACAAGGAACACGATGTACATATGTAAATAAATATATATTAATGAGTTACTGTTCCGCTGCAATCACCTTCACAGCCAGCTTCGTAGTGATCGCTGTTTTTGTTTCGAAATGACGGAGCGCGGCGTGGCTGGTGACAGGTAAGCGTCGTATGCTCGAGGACTGGAGATGATTTTAGAAAGACACTGATAATACTGGTTGTTAATAATATATCTTACTACGTCGGTACTTTTTTTTCCCATTAGGATACGACACCCAATAGATCGTTTTCCTCCTCCGCTGCGATATCCGCATGCGCACCGCCAGCCTTGTCTGCCTAGTTAAAGGCCACGTGGTGGATTACGGAGAACTTTGCGGGTTCTTAGCGGGATGCGGAAACGTTCTACGAAAGCCCGCTAAACGCAGGGGCCCTCAGAACCAGAACCGAAGCCTCCGTAATCTTGAGAGCAAGTTGATGACAAGTGTCGACACAAAATGAAGAAAGCAAACCGGAAAACTTCAATCAAAATATATAGGCAATCGAAATATATAGACAAAGCATTAAAAAAAAAATCTTTCGCCAGTAACAACTAAAAACACACGCACGCGCGCGCACACACACACACACATACACACGCACACACGGAGCAGTCTACCGCTAAACAGCATGACTTCACGAGTATTCACATCGAAAATAGAATTCAAAGCGTCCTCAGAGATAAATAGCATGACGGCCTAGTCCTTTGTCCACGTTGGGTCGTCGGAAGTAAGAAAACAATAAAGTTTCCGTATCTCACTTAGCGGCAGAGCGTCCATGTTCCGGAAATGCTGAGCAACCGAAACTCAAAATACTTGACACTCCCAAGCAGGCCGCGTGCACAGTGCTGCCAGATCACAAAGCACTGGTGATCTGGTTTCGCATAAAAAGAAAGTAGTTTTGTTTCTAGGCAAAAGTGTTTGGACGGCGTTTAGTGAAGTCATTGCAATACTTGGTACAATCAAAGCGATTTTTGGACGCTAAAAAAATTCTGGCGTTCAGTGCAATAGAGTGACGCAATAAAAAATAAAACTAACTTAAATAGAGCGAAGTTTTTTTTTCAGTATTGTTAAATTTAGAAAATTACTTTTAGCTAGACTTGGGAGGGATGCAAAAGGTACATATTTCTCTTAAAGGACGCGTGCAAAGGAAAAAATATATATATATTTTTAAACAGCTTATAACACCTTTCCAAAAAACACTCGATTCCAGGGGCAACAAACCGTTTTCGAGCCCAGTCACTGAGTTTGAGGCTAGACTCTCACCGGCGTCCCTCCTAACCCTAACCGAGGGGACTGTGATTTCAATAGGCGCAGTTTGAAACACTGCTGGCGGCTAAATTCTCGTCTTTTCCAGCTATATTTTGTGTTTCATAATACATGTATTTTCCCGAGGACATTGAGAAAGCATTGTACCACATTTTAAAAAAACAAAAAAAGCAAAAAACAAAACTGTAAACTTTTTTTGGGGGGTACGCGCGCGACAGAACGAATGCGACTGGAATGTATAGATCTTTTCCACAAGGGCGCCGCCATCTTGAATTGTCGTCACTTCCAGTATGGGCGACGAAAAAAAAGTAAAACGTTTCAACCTGTAACTAGTAAAAAAATAGAGGCGAGCCAAAACGAGAATGTGTGACGGTTAGGCTTATATCCTAAATGTCTTCTATTGGCGTGGCAACGGCAAAGTTACGTTTTCGCCCATACTGGGAGTGACGTCAATTCAAGATGGCGGCGCCCTTGTGGAAAAGGTCTATAGTTCTAGTTTTTTTGTTTTTTTTCTTACGATGAGTTTTGACGGCGCCGCGGGATTCGCCGCATGTGAAACGACAAAGCGCTTTACTGTCAAAAATAAATTACTACAGAAGGGGGCCGAAAGGCATGCACTTTTCACGCTCACAAACAACGTGTTTACCGATGGACAGGACACGGACATACAATTGAGGAAGTGTTAACATTCGAACAATATATCG